CACCTACCGAGATGGGCTCCTGGGTGCCCGCCCCAGCATCGCACCTATCGCCCCCTCTTCTCCTATCACCCCCTCTTCTCCTATCACCCCCTCTTCTCCTATCACCCCCTCTTCTCTCACCCCCTCTTCTCCCCGCAGCACCGAGGGGCACGGCGGAATCCCGGGGCTCTCCCAGCCCCCTCCACACCCCACAGCACCACATCGGCACCGGGCTGCTCCTGCCCCAGTTAAACCTGCCTGGAAACGTTCAGTTTTCCTCCAGAACCAGCCAGGAAAGCCTTCACAAACTTCTCCGGAGCTGCTGCAATCCACCCAGTCACTTCCTGGCCCTGCTGCCTTTGAAGAACCTCTAGCACTGCTTGTAATTAAAACATTCTTCTTTCCTTTTTTTTTTTTTTTTTTTTTTAGAACGAGGAAATAAAATGCAAACCACTGTGTCATGGCATTAACGACACAGACTGTTGTTTTTCTGGGGGGAGATGTTGTTCTATTCCTATTTGATTTAGGTGCTTTTATAAGTGAACCTTGGTAATCGGCACAGGAGGGTTTGCTCCAAGCTCCTCACAGGCACAGGAAAGCCAGCAGTGAAATAATTCAACACAATCAACAGGAAATAAACCCTCTCTTTTTTTTGCTAAATAAGAATAATGAAGCACTGAAACAGAGCAGAGGCTCTCAGTGGGCACCAGGCATCAGTATCAGATGCCACAGGATGCTACGGGTGCTGCCCCTGGGCCTCAGTGACCCAAAGTTTAGGCTGGACATGGGAAATGCTCATTACAACCCTGGACCCAAGTGCAGGTGAGGTGGGACAGCTCGGGACCTCTGCAGAGGCTGGGCAAGGCAGGGACAGAGCTGGTAGCCCAGCCTGGGGTGATGGTTGCCCACAGAAGGTTAGGAGCCTTTGAGGGAAAAGAGGGGGCAGTGCTAGACCAGGTGATTGACCCGAGCACAGTGAGGGAGATTTCCTCCAAAAGAAGATTGTTGTCCACTTGACTGAGGACCTTAACCCCACAGAGCACTCACAGCCTAAAATCTGTAGTTCCTCATCGGCTTTCCGAGGGCAGGGAGAGGGATCTGCTCTGCTTCCCCCCCACACAACCTCCTCCATGCCTTACAGGTAACTTCGCACACACTGATGCAGTAATTCTGACCATTTCAGGAGAGAACATTTCCTTTAAAACATGTCCCTTTTTTGGGGCAGCAAATAAGATTATTTCTCACTGAGCTGGTTTTCAATCCCTCTGCAGCAACACAGGTGCCCTGTGAGGCTCGTGGGTGGCCAGACCACAACTTGCACCCTCCAGCAGCTCCAGCAGACCTGCCCACCTTTAGTGCAGAGGCTCCTCAGGAAACTCTCACTCTCTCCTTATTAACTGTTTGCTTCTGCAACCAGCCATCAAGAGATTTGCTCCGATGCAGGGAAATTATTCCTCCCACCCCCTTGCTCCACACCAGAGGGACCTGCACAATTAGAAACACTTTAGATACTTGACTCATGCTCAAGCCTCAACAAACAAAAGTCGCAAGGAGAAAGCTGATGTTTTCCAGGCCCAATTAGCATCACGCTGTAATTACAGCTTGTGGCAGCCACATTCCCCAGTACTGCCCCAAATCTCTCCCTGGCTTCATCCCCTCACCTGGCACTGGCCACACACACACACACACACACACACGCAGCTTCTTCCTCCCCATCCATCGCCACACGCCTGTGTCCTACAGCTCTTTGGTGCGTGATGCCCACAGAGTGGATAATTAGCTAAATGAATTAACTGACATCCATACTTGTAATTAGCAACCGGTTACAAGCAGCTATTCTCCTTGGGACAAGGAAAATTTCTTGGGGACTGGTGTTAACATACTGTAAAATCATGAATAGTAAATAAGCAGGGCCGTGCGTAGCGCCCGGTCCTGGCGCCCCATTTCTTCCCTCCCTCAGCCATAAAAGCTGCTCCACCATAAACAAGCCCGTGCAAAAGCTAAGCAGGCTGAGAGACATGTTGGGAATGCTGCTGCTGCTGGGAAGGAGGAGAAGTTTCCAGCTTGGGAAGGAATCACAGCCAGATGGGCGGCCTCCAGCCGGCAGCTCCCGCCGGCTCCCCCGGCTCAACCCTTTCTTTCTCCAGCAGAGTTTGCAGTCAGGCCCAGGCACTGGAGGCTGCTTGTGCAAAGCAACAGGAATTGGATGTCCTGAGTGTTAATTAAACCATTAGTTACCGCCGAGAAATGAAGGGGGGAAAAAATGTGACCTATTAGTTTTACTGCTTCGTGTTGGTTGGACGGATAAATTCCTCTCTGGCTTTGCAGTGGAAGAAAAGGGCAGTGGCATCAGTCAGACCTGTGCTGAGCTGTAGGTTTTCTTGGCTATTTAAGGGGAGGGTGACGAGTACCAACATGGGACCTGCACAGTCACAGCTGATCCCAGCAGCCCCACAAAGCCAGAAGTGAGACACCAGGGCCAGGGCTGGTGGAGACCAGCCCAAGCAGCTTGGGAAAGAGCCCCAGGTGGGGGGGGATCAGGATGCTGGGGGTTTGGAGATGCTTTCAGGGTGGCCCTCCTGTGCAGGTCGGTGGTGCAGGCAGTGGGTCTCTTCTCCCTTGGAAATGCCTCCCAAAACCAGAGTGCCAATGGGAAGAAGGGAGGGCAGCAGGGCAGGCACCACTGTGCAAACAGCTCGTTATGGAAAAGGGGGGAATAAGTGATCCTAATGGACCAGCTTAATAAATCAAATCCTCGTGTCGTTTTGCTGCATCAGGAGCTGCTGCAGCACCGAGAGCCACACCGTGGCTGCACTGCCTGTCTGGGCTGGGGCTTCTGCATCCTCCCAGGATGGAGAGGGTGACCCCCCCCCAGCCACTCGGGGCCCTCTGCTCCCCCAGGGCGGCTGCAGCAACACCTGCTGCAGGATGGGGCAATGGAATGGGGTGATGGAATAGGGTGATGGGATGGGGTGATAGGATGGGGTGACAGCACCCCACAACCCAGGGTGTCCCCTGGAGAGGGGCTCTCCCCCAGCTCCTGGCACAGGATCAGGGCCACGTTGCTCTGCCAGGAGTCCTGTTCTTGGCTCCTCCGAGCTGTCAAAGCTCTAGATTTCTCTGGCAGCTCTTGGAGTTTAAAGGCAGGGGAAAAAAAAGAAAAAAAATAATGATAAAAAAATGCTGGAGCTCAGAAGGGAGGCAGTTGGAAAGGCTGGGCCGGGGAGCTGTCACACCACCCTTGCAGCTATTACACACCTCGGTAAGTTCTCAAACACACAGGCTGCACAGGATAGCAGCGAGGCCAGGTTTTCTTTAGCTGCAGGCAAAGAAAAAAATAATTCAATTACAAAGTAACCTATTTTTCAGCTCCTCCATTGGTATTTACTTAATTTTCTAAGGCCGGCTTGCCCGCCCCGAGACGGAGAGGAGGAGGGAGGCCGAGTGCCCTCCTGCTAAGCCGGGCTCTGCACACGGTGGGGCTTATTTTGGTTAAACTCAAACGTGAAAGGCCAGAGGTTGGTTTGAAGGCGGGTGGGTGAGCGGGGACAGCGTGTGACACCGGGCAGCAGCACAGGGACGGATCAGCGGCAGGGATGGGGAGCACCGGGGGATCCGCAGGGAGCAGGACCTCCTGGAGAAGGTTTGGGAGGTGCCCAGGAACAGGCTGGTGGCTCCTGGGGGGCAGGTGCCGAGTC